TTTGTTAATTTATATGCTAATGATGAGGAATGGATGAGCAAGGGCATCAGGAGGTCTGATGTGATTAACCTGATTTGATTCTTCAGTCCTCAGCAGCCAAACCTGAACACAGGCAGGCATAGCAGTAGAGTTAAAATTTAAGTGCAAATGACTATGTTAAAAGAGAAGTCTTTACCTTTAAAAAATACATACTGAAATATTTTTGTATGAAATGATGTGATTTGCTTTGAGATAAATCAGATTTATCTCAGAGGTGGAAGTGTGTGGGTGTGAGATTGCGATTTGTAATAAACATATATTTGGTCCTGTCCCATTTCTGGCACAGAGCTCCTAAAACCCTTGGAATTTCCTGTGATGAGAGGGATAAAGATGTGTCTTATGTTAATGAAGTGACTTTTGGACCCACCTAAGGATGGGGGCTGTTTGCCATGAGAGCCAACCATGTGATTAGAGCGTTGGAACTTTTGGTCCCACTGCCCTGACCTCTGGGGAGGGAAGAGAGGCTGGAGGCTGAGCTTAGTCACCAATGACCAATGATTTAATCAATTATGCCCTTGTAATGAGTCCTCCATAAAAACAGAAAAGGACGGGGTTCGAAGAACTTCTAGGTTGGTGAACACATGGAAATTTGGGGAGAACAGCATGCCTGGAGAGGGCATGGAAGCTCCATGCCCCTTTCCACATACCTTGCCCTGTACATTTCTTTCATCTGCTGTTCCTGAGTTATATCCTTTTAGAATAAATCTAGTAAAGTTCTGTGAGTCACTCTAACAAATTAATCAAACCCAAGGAGGGGGTTGTTGGAACCTCCAGTCTATAGCTGGTCAGTCAGAAGCACAGGTGATAATCTGGACTTGTGGACTTGTGACTGGCATCTGAAATGTGTGTGTGTGTGTGTGTGTGCGTGTGTGTGTGCGTGTGTGTGTATGTGTGTTGGGGGTGGAGTGGGGTCAGTCTTGTGGGACTGAACCCTTAACCTGTGGAATCTGATGCTTTTCCTATGGGTAGATAGTGTCGGAATTGAGTTGAAATGTAGGATACCCTGCTGGTGTCCGAGAATTGCTTGGTAGTGTGGGAGCCCTACCCCCCCAATGTTGGAATTGGGGTGCAGAACCTTTTATAGTGGGGTGGATGAAGCAAGATTTGCTATGATTGTTGAAGCAGGATGATAAATACATGGAGTTCATGTATTTGTACTTTCTATTTTTGTATGCATTTGAAATTTGCCACAATAAAAAGTTAAAAAAATGGTTAGTTATGGGTATGTAATTCAAAATGTTATCATTTATTCATTCATTCAACCTTCAGAATTAATTGAGCATCTACTCAAAAGAGGTTCAAAACAATAGGTGTTTTGGAAAATTTTGGATCTTAGTGTAAAGAGCTTGCAATCCAAGAGTGGAGGTGCTATGCACATAACTCAATTTAAGATAAGTTGGAATATTATGAATTCCATATCTGAAAAAAACAGATCTACATGAAGTACTGTGGAAGTTCTGGGGAGAGATTTTTTTCCAGCTCAGGGGAATCAGGGAAGACTTGATAGTGAAGATGGCATTTGAGCTTTATTCATTCACTTAATTCAACAGATATTACTGAGTCCTGCTGTATGCCGAATACTGTTCTCAGTCTTAAGGATCCAGCAGTGAACAAAGCTGATAAAGATCCTATGCTTGTGAAATTTACATCCTAATGGGAACAGATAGACAACACATAACAAACATAAGTTTTATCGTGTGTTAGAAGATGAGAGATGTTACAGAAAAAAGAAGTAGGGCATCGTGAGGGAGGTTAGTAATGTTGGGGGTAAGGTTAGGGAGGGGGGGTTACAATGGTAAACAGGGTGGTCAGGTTGACATTTGGGCAAACTCTTGCCAAGGGAATTGGCCAAGTGGATATTCGCGTGAAGAGCCTTCCCTCCGAGGGCACAGCTGGAGCAAAGGCCCTAAGTGGGGAGTCTGCCTGGTGTAGCTGGAGCAGAGTGAACGAGGGGGAGAGGAGTTGAAAATGAGGTCAGAGAAGTAATGGGGAGGGCATGGTGGTGGTGGTGCCAGAGTTGGGGGGCAGACCTTCTAGGGAATCATAAGAACTTTGGTTTTTACTTTTAGTAAAATGAGGAGCCAGTGAAGGATTTTGAGCCAGAAGTGTAGCATGATTTGCTTATAGCTTACAGTGATTCCCTGGCTGTTATGTCGAGAGCAAATACTGGGGTGGGGACCTTTTAGGAGGCTTTTGGTATAATCTTGCCAAGAAACATTGGTGACTCAAGCTAGAACGATAGCAGTGGATGTGGTGAGAAGTGGTCATAGTTTAGTTAGAGCTTAAAGGCAGAGCCAACATCATTTCCTGAAAGATTGGATGTGGGATTTGAGAGAAAGAGAAATGTCAAGGGTGACTAAAGAATGGAATTGCCCTCAAGGGAGAGAAGGAAGCTGCAAGAATGACAGTTTTCTGGGGGGAGGGAAGAGCGGCAGTCCAGTTTTGGACATGTTAAGTTTGGGATGTTTACCAAACACCTGAGTGGAAGTCAGGTAGGTAGTTGGAGTTTAGAGTTTGGGAGAGAAAACTGAGCTGCAGGTGTACATTTGGGAGTTACTGTCATAGAGACAGCATTTAAAGCCATGAGCCTGGATGAATTAATTCATCTAGGGAGTGAGTATAGGTAGAGAAGACCAGGGACGAACCATGGGCCATTTCAACATTAAGAGAACGGAAGAGAACCAACCAGCAAAGGAGCTTTTAGCCTCAAAGAGCCGATGATCTGTGAACCTGGGAAGTCAGTCCTCTAAGTTGAGGGATGAGCTTGAACAAGAGCGTGATGCTGGGGGAAAAAACAGATTGTTGATAACCAGGAGCAGATGTGTTTAGTATTCATGTTTTTTAAGAATAGTTTTCTGTTGAATGGAAGCTTATTCACATTTAGGTTGATAATGTTAGTGCAGAGTTTAAGATTCCATTATCTAACTGGATTCATTAATTTACCCTCCCTTGCCTATTTTTATTGGGTGTCTAATGAAACTCACATTTCCTGTTTGGAGTACTCTCTTGTAAGGGGTCAAACAAGGATCAACAATTTTTTTTGGTAAAGGGCCAGATAGTAAATATCTCAGGCTTTGCAGGCTGTACAGTCTCTGATGCAGCTACTCAACTTGTCTGTTGTAGTGGGGAAGCTGCTACAGGCACATAAACGATGAACATGGCTGTGTTCCAATAACACTTGATTTCGGACACTGAATTTTGAATTTTATGTAATTTTCATGTTTCACAAAATATTATTCTTCTATTTTTTCCCGCTACTTAAAAGGTAAAAAAGTCATTCTTTGTAGGCTGTACAAAGATAAGTGGCAGGCTGGATTTGGCCTACTGGCTGTAGTTTGCTGACCTCAGGCTTAAAAGATTTTTTTTTTCCAGGTCCACTTTGAACCAGATCATTCTGCCAAATGCATTGGTTTTTTTTTTTGTTTTATTTTTTTGGATTTATTTATTTATTTGTGGCTGTGTTGGGTCTTCGTTGCTGTGCGTGGGCTTTCTCTAGTTGTGGTGAGCAGGGGTACTCTTTGTTGCAGTGCGCGGGCTTCTCGTTGTCGTGGCTTCTCTTGTTGCAGAGCATGGGCTCTAGGAGTGCGGGCTTCAGTAGTTGTGGCACATGGGCTCAGTAGTTGTGGCTTGCGGGCTCTAGAGCTCAGGCTCAGTAGTTGTGGCACATGGGCTTAGTTGCTCTGCGGCATGTGGGATCTTCCCAGGCCAGGGCTCGAACCCATGTCCCTTGCATTGACAGGCAGATTCTTAACCACTGTGCCACCAGGGAAGCCCCAAATGCACTGGTTTGAAATCAGTTACAAAGTGGGTTAGCCAGACTCTTTTGAGTCTGTTTTCAGCCACTGTTTATGCTGATTTGCATTGTCCGTGTGGCGTTGTACATGACATATTAGTCTCTTTGATGGGTGAGTGGTCTGGGTGACCTCTAGGATCTAGTTCACGTCCATGATTCTAGTCCAGTGATTTTCCTAAAAAAAAGAAAAGAGAAAGAAAGAAATACTCAAAATTCTTTTGAAACTCTCCTCCATAGCTTCGGCAGCACTGTGGTCTCCCAGAGTTTCTTCCCGTGACCTTTCCCTCTCATTTTCCTTCTCAGGCTCCTGACTTGAATGTCCCGTTCCTGCGCTCTGTCCTCAGGCCTCTTCTTTCTCCCTTTTTCCACTCTCCGTGGTGACTTCCATCAGGCTGTGACTTCAGTTACCACCTCTGCACCAGAGACTAACACGTGTGTATGTAGCTCTGACTTCTCTTCTGAGGTGGAAAGCAAGGTTTCCCATTAGCTAGAAGTTAAAATCCAAACTCCTGAGCCCAGCCCACACTAACTTTCCGTGCACTGCCTGGCAACTGGACTGGGCTGTTGGGCAGCTTCCAGCACGTCATCCATCCTTCTGCTGCATCGCCTTTGCCCTTGCTCTTCCCTCTGCCAACATTACCCTCTCTCCTTGCTGCCGTCTCCCTCCCTGCTAATTCCCAGCACACCCCAAATTGATACCCTGCCCTTTGAGAACCCACTCAGAGGGCCACTTACTCTGCAAGATTCAGCTTAATGCCTGTACTTCTTGGAAGCCCTGTTTCATAGACAAGGTTCAACGTTTCCTCTGTGTGCTCACGGTATCTTACGCACATTTCCATTGTAGCCCTTGCCTTTATTGCTCTGTTAGGTCAAAAGTCCTTGAATATTGGTTGAACATCAAATATATTTATAAGTTGGTACCTTCACTAGACAATGCTTGGGAGCAGAGTTTGGGTCCCGCTAATCTTTGTAACCCCAGAGCCTGACATTTAGAAGATACTTAATTTGTGTTAAAAAAAAAAAAAAAGAATGATTCCATGAGGACATGCTTATATGGGCTACACTGACTTTGATACAAATTAAAATATATTGACAGTCATAGGCAAAATTAGACCTTTTTATGACTATATTTTATGTCTTTAACTATATTTATCTTTTTCTGTTGTAGGAGGAAAATTCTTCCCAGGATGGTCTCCCATTCAGAGTTGAGGAAACTTTTCTGTTCAGCTGATGCAGTGTGCTTTGATGTTGACAGCACAGTCATCAGAGAAGAAGGAATTGATGAGCTGGCCAAATTCTGTGGAGTTGAGGATGCTGTGTCAGAAATGTAGGAACAGTATTTACTCACCTTATGAAATGATAAAGAATTGCAAAGGAAGAGTGACTTTTGGATGACATGCAGGACCAGAGCCCAGAGCCTGATCTTAGTCCCTGCCTATGAAACATGGGCACTAGGCTTTTTCTTCCATCACTGAGAGCTGAATTTGGTAGTGTACATCATCCAACCATCCCTTTATACAAATATTTATGGCCAAAAAATATATGGTTGCCTCTGACAAACAAATATGGATGACATACTCTTAGCTTGGTCAGGGGAATGATGACGATAAGTAACCAAAGAAGATGACCTGGGGGGTCTCCAGGGGTCCAGTGCTGTGTGGCCTTAGTGGTTTGTTAGAAAGCTAGTTACAGTTCAGAGTCTCTCCATGGATGCCTGGGTGAGAGTCCCTCCCTCCCTCCTGCCCTCCCTGTGTCACCTGCAGTCACTAGGTCATGGACCATTTCATGTTCAGCTTCCTTTGATGCAAGAGTACAGGGCCTTTGGTTTCTTTCTTGGTTTACAAACACTCACAGCTTCCAAGGCAGGTACCTGTGGATAGTATATGTGGTTTTCTTAGCTCACTGGGTGGTGTATTTGTGGATGCAAAGGATAAAGGATTCTCTTTACTGATGTCTTTTGTGCCTTGGTCTCATTTACTCTGCAGAATAGACTTAGGCTATTTTGGCTTCAAAATATTAATGCGATTCTCAAGCAAACCTTCAGTGGTTTATCCCAGGCCTCACTCACTCCCATGGCCATGCACCACGTCTGTTGTATGGTGGGGCACCTTCCTCGTGCGTGGACCTTGTGAGGAGCGGGGGAGGGTAGGCGTGTAAACTTCGAAGACAGCACTTAGCTGGCCTGATTTTTGGGTCTTCCTCCTAGGACACGGCGAGCCATGGGCGGGGCAATGCCTTTCAAGGCTGCCCTCACAGAGCGCTTAGCTCTGATCCAGCCCTCCAGGGAACAGGTGCAAAGGCTTATAGCAGAGCACCCACCTCACCTGACCCCCGGCATAAGGTAAGGGGCTCCCCGGTCTGGGTACACCTGTCTCCCTATCAGCACCTGCATTTGGGGGCATGTCCTCCTGAGGGTATCTCACCATTACTTTAGAGCTCCCTTCTTCGTGGTTCCTTCGGTACTTGTATATGGTCTTGTCTGCTAGTTGGTCCTGCCCATGTCTGCCCTCCCTCTCTCCCCACAGAGAGCCTAAGCCTCCTCTTCTTCTTGTGTTTCAGGATCCGTGGGCAGAATAGAGTTGTGGAATGGTTTCCTAAAGCAGTTAAGCCCCACCCACTCATTTCTAAGTGCTTTTAGAAAAACATATATAAAACGTTAATTCATTAGGCGGTATACCTTGTCTGATGTACCTTGGGCAAATGCATTTGGAGAAAAAATATATTTGAGTTTCCTTTTCATGTTTTCTCTTTTATATTAATCAGCATTTGGTATTTTATACGTTTTTTGGTTTTTATTTTTTCAGGGAGCTAGTAAGTCGCCTACAAGAGCGAAATGTTCAGGTTTTTCTAATATCTGGAGGCTTTAGGAGCATTGTGGAGCATGTTGCTTCAAAGCTCAACATCCCATCAACCAATGTATTTGCCAACAGGCTGAAATTCTACTTTAATGGTAAGTCTTTAATAGTAACATTTTCTCCTTCTTCTCAGTTTTAGTATTCAACATCCTAGGTAATGTCTGTTGGAATGCAACTCAAGCAAGGTGGCATCAGAGTTAAATGTTGAGGTAAAGGATTCTCTTTACTGATGTCTTTTGCACCTTGGTATCATTTGCCCTGCAAAATAGACTTAGGTCATCATCTCTCCTACCTTCAGTATCGATATAATCATCTATCTGTATATAAATGTCTGTACTGAGTAAAATGTTAGTTCTTATGTAACCCTCGTGACTTATTTTGTTATGCATCATATTTCAGTTCTATGAAAGCTCTCATGTATCTGAATCAATTTAGACTCAGGAAGGAGAGTTAATTTGTGAGCAAGTCGCTGCACTTTAGCTGCCTTTGGAGGCACCTCCTGGCCCCTCTCTGGACCATCACAGAGCCACAGCTGTAGTTTTCTGTCATCTCAAGATGTCTCCAGTTATGTCAAGGGGTGGCTGACATTCTTAACACCAAATAATATTAATTAAAAATAAATTAAATGTGTTAATAGAACACTTTTTAAGGGTCTATAGATAGAAATCATTAAAAAAAAAAGAAGTAGAGAATAAGTGTGGTAATTACTGTAAGAATGGAAATAATCCATCAAATATAAATTGGAATCTCCTCTTAGATGAAATTGTATATCAACATGTTTTAAATTAATATATTACTATTTCATGGTGTTCTGCCACCTCAACAAGTTTTGAGAATTATGACACTGGAAGCTTAGAGGATAAAATTAATTTACCCCAAGATGTTTATCATCTAAAGGAGTAACCTTGACAAGAGGTGTTTGTAATTTAAAAGCAAAGCTTGTTCATTCTGAGGAATAAGTCCAGCCTGTGTCACTTTACTGAAGGCTGTTTTTAGCTTTGTGAGCGACATGAAGGTGAGTCTATCATCTATGCAAAAGGCTGGCCCTACTGATACAATCCTGTGGATCTTTAACACTGTTTTAATGGCTCTTTTAAGGTGAATATGCAGGTTTTGATGAGATGCAGCCAACAGCCGAATCTGGTGGGAAAGGAAAAGTTATTAAACTTTTAAAGGAAAAATTTCATTTTAAGAAAGTAGTCATGATTGGAGATGGAGCCACAGACATGGAAGCCTGTCCTCCTGCTGTATGTATTAAGTGTACTAATTTTTTTGCGTTTGTACTTTTACTATTGACAGCTGACTTAGAACTCAGTACAATTTGTGAGAGTTAAACAAAAACCTGTATCAGCCTAAAATAAAAAAACAAAATAAATAAAACAAATTCAATCTCAATATATTAATTGACTTTTTGCAAACCCAAGGAGGGTTGCAAATAAGAAACTTAAAAACCTTTTAAAACTTTCAAAGACCCCTGTCCCTGCAGGATGGCTGCCACCTCTTAGCCCAAGTATGTGCTCAACAAGGTTTGGCTTCATTTCCACAAATAATGCAGCTCTTATTACTATAACCGAAATTGTAATGTTTTATATTTGATAAACTATTTCCTCATACGTTATCTCATTTAATCCTTGTAACAGCCCTGTGAGGTAAAAGCATTATCTTCTCCTTTTTACTGATCAGGGAACTGAGGCTCAGGGAGGTTTGATACCACGCCCATATTAAGGCATTTTATTCCTCTGAATTAACATTGTTTTCTGAGACTAGCAGGAAACAAATGCTATATAGCCAATATCTCAAGTTAAGCCAATACCTTAACTTATCACATGTCCCTTTCATGTAGGACTTTGACTATATTGTCTTGTTCTAACTTAAGAAAAACTGAACCAAAAATATAGTGGTGAACGTTTTACTACCTAGTTTCCTGAGCTCTAAAAATAGCATCTTTCTCTGTCAGTGATTAAGCATTCATGGTTAAAGAATCTTTTGGGATCCTTCTAACACTACTTGAGTCAGTTCAAGATAACACATTCTTAGATGATTTATAGCCGATGTTGGGGTCGACTAAGTAGTGAACGCCGGGCTAGTTGAATAGCAAGGCATAAAATGCAGGGTTCCCTCAGGGGGCCCCCGATCCCGGTGTCCAGAAAGAGCAAAATTACAAATTCCAGATGACCCTACCAGTCAGAAAATGATACAGCCTGACTGAACCAAGAGAAAGTGGTGTGCATGCAGGTGTGTAGCCCTGGAAGGTGGTCAGAGGAATCTGTGCCCTAAAGGACGGTTAGCAGCCTCCATGTGGAGGCCTGGCAGGACTTGGCGGGGTGCGTGTGTGTGTGGAATTTCTAGAGGGAGGGGAAGCAGCAGAGCACGGTAAGGATGTACTAGCATGGTCCTAGGCACGAGTGAGCTTTCTCTTCAGCAAGAGAAGAAGACCCCACATACCAGGCACTCTGGTGTTACCTTTGGGTCCTGGGAAGCCCTGGAAGGCTTCTGGACCAAGAAGGAAGAAGTCAGTGTGTTAGGACAGCTGAGCTGGTGCTGGCATGCAGAAAGGGCTGCAGCAGAGGCAGGGAGCTCAGTTAGGAGGAGGCTAAATTTAACGAGAAGGGAAGCATCTAGTTATTCCCTGCCCCCCCCCCCGCCCGCCCGCCCTTGTATGGTATGAAAATAAAAATGAAGACAAAGGTCAAGTAAGAGAATTTTGTACTTCTAAATTAGTGTATATTGTGTCTGTAGCCTGGCAGAAAAAGAGAAAATACCATTTAAAAAGATCATTGACTAAAAGAAGGTATCACTGAGCAGAAATTAATGAAACAATGTAACTTTAAATAATTCTACCAGTGAAAAGTAGAGTGCTGCTAACACACTCTGGGGTTGTCATCTCCTTCAGCCCAGAATAACATGCCCTCCTGGGAGGGAGGTCCCTCAGTTTCACCCAGGATGCCAGCCGGGAAATACCTGCTCTGGTCCTGATTCCAGGCCTCGGGCATTTCCACGGCACCACAGGCTTCTCTTTGATCTTCTTTCTCTGAAATTGTCTGGCCTGGAGGTGATTGCCACCTAGTTTAGAACTCAGATGTTTACCACCTGGTGTGGTTTTAGTTTTGTAAGCAATTGTCTTGGTTTTAAGGGGGCTTCAGTTCTCCTGAAGCCCACAATGTCCAGCTGAATGCATCTGCAGCAGCGGTGGCCAGACTCATTCATTCTCAGGGCAGGATGAGGGGAGGCTCCCGGGGAGCTGGGGAGGGAGGTGCCCCAGGTGAGGCTGGGCTCACCTCTTTGCACAGAGTTTATTCTTTTAAACAACACTTACTGCCCTAGGCTGCTGCTGTATCTTTGTCTCTCTCTTTTAAACTATTTCCCTTTTGTTCTCTTCTTAGGATGTTTTCATTGGATTTGGAGGAAATGTGATCAGGCAACAAGTAAAGGACAACTCGGAATGGTACATCACTGATTTTGTAGAGCTTTTGGGAGAACTGGAAGAATAAGATCAGTTTTTATACAGTTCATAACAACTTCAGGTTAATTTTTAAAAGTTATACAGTTTGATACTGTTTGCTTCCAATTGCATATTAGGACTTAATATATAAATTTAGTACTGATTATCTGTACTTCCAAGTAAACTATAGTTAGGGCTCGTAGAACATTGTGGTTCTTTTTTTTTTTTTTTAACAGTAGCTCCGGTATTATTATGACCATTTAATTACCTGGAGAGTTTTATAATTTGAATTCTTTATGTATTTTCCTAGCTATATTTTATTTGAAGGCTTTTGAAGGTGGATAGTAAATTAAACACCTTCATTATTGGAAATATGGATTAGGCAGCTTTAAGTGAAATTGGTTTTCCCTTTATATATAAATAAAAGTTTATCCACATATGAGAACAGATTTGTAGAATTTTTTTTTTTTTTCTTTTGAGCCACACCACGCAGCTTGTGGGATCTTAGTTCCCCGACCAGGGATTGAACTCAGGTACTCAGCAGTGAAAGCACTGAGTCCTAACCCATTGGACCGCCAGAAAATTCCCGATTTGTAGAATTTTTAATTCTGCCTATCATGTATTTCAGTATCCAGTAATTCAAGTATTTAAGTGTTTGAGTAGAAACGACCTCCGGGCAAGGAACCAAGGAGTCGAGACCCTCCTGAGCACAGGGCAGAGTGCTTGTCACAGTGAATCCACCACTCAGCCCCCGCCACTGAGGGAAACGCTGGGCCAGAGGGATGGAAGTGCTTTTACTACCTCTTGGTATTTGTCATATAGGGAACGTTGCAGAGATTTTTTTAGAAAGATAACCATGGCGCCTTAAACAAAAGTACGGACCTTAAAAAATGGATATTTGATAATCACATGAACTAGGAGAACTGAAAACAAGTTTTACTCATCCCAAATGAAGATCAGTGTTTGCCCTTAAATGGATTAAGAAATAACTCCTCAGAACATATATGAACAATTTCTTTCTTACAGAGGGCTTGGGAGGACCTGAAAGCCCAGGTTCATGTTTATTCTGAGTAGCGCCTTGAAAGGGACATTTCAGAACATGCTTTGAAAGTAGGAGATTATATTCTCTCCCTGGTGGGAAGCCGGGGGGAAGACAGAGACACAGGTTTAGGAAGAGGCAGGCCATGAGTGGATACTATTGGATAATTAAGTAGAAAAGGCCGGAAGGGTTTAACATTGGGAGTTATTTGAAAAATTTATAATTTAACCAAATAATCAAATTTGGCCAATTTGTCAGATAATTATTTAGCCAAATAATCAAATCAGATGAATCAAGCTTCCTTCCAGATCAAAGTTTTTGTAGGAGAGCCGTGAAATGAGTTTGGCAACCTTTAACCGAGGCCCCAGACAGCAAGGCAGTTGTTTCGTAACTGTGAGTGCTCGCTGGCAGCTCTCTTCGAAGCTGTTTTGCGGTGTTGGCACTCTCAGAGGTGCAAGGGGGCAGGGCCAGGCCTGCCAGGCCTGTGAAGGGTGCTTCAGACTGTTTCAGCCTCTGCTACCACCCTGCGTGCATAAGCTGGAGCAAGCCGGGTGGGCAGGTTAACTTCTATGAGCTTGTTTCCTGTCTGTTAAAAATAGGGCAGTGATATCTGACCTCAGGGCTATGAGAATCACATGAGGAACATGGGAAAACACCTTGGAAAATGTGAAAATAGGCAGTGTGACGTGTGGTCAGATCACTCCCCAAGTTTTCTGAACCTGATCATAAAGATTCTGAGGGTCGTAGAGGCAAAAGCCACCATGCTGTGCCATCCGTTCTAACTGCCGGGCCTTCAGAGCCTGCCCTCCACTGGGCAGCAGCCTGAACAGGGCGGGTACGTGCTGAATTTGGCTCAGAGGAGTCTGATCTGCTGAGGAATCATGATACCCACAGAGAACCTTTTATACCGATTATACAGCCCCTCCTCTGGCCCCCAGGCTGCCCAGCTTCACAAGCTGCACAGAAGCAGCAGGCACAGTCCCTTCTTTGTTGTGTCAGCGGGGCGAGTTTGAAATGTCCCAAGAACTGTGCTAACCTCTTGCATGCTTTTCTAATTCTGGGCTGACTGGAAACAGCGACCGAAAGGCTCTCCCAGGAGTTATGTATATGGTGACACCAGGACAGGATTCAGAAACCAGTGGCAGTGTTATGTGGCTTCCTATCCTTGTGACACCCACCATTTTTCATTCTGATTATGAGCATTGGGTTTTGTAAAAAGAAAAAAATTGAGAATTGGGTTCTCGCTCTCTCTTCCAGTGGAGACAAGTGTTTCTCCATGACATCTAGGGAGGCCCACCTGGCTGCCATTCCCAAGAGCAGGGGACAGCATTCTAGACCTGGGGCAGGAGTGTAGCAAGAGATTCCAGAGATTGAAGTAGTCGGCCCCAGTAAGTGATGGCACGGCATGGTGGCTTTTGCCTCTACGACCCTCAGAATCTTTATGATCAGGTTCAGAAAACTTGGGGAGTGATCTGACCATAAGTCACACTGCTTATTTTCACATTTTCCAAGGTGTTTTCACATGTTCCTCATGTGATTCTCATAGGCCTGAGGTCAGATATCACTGCCGTATTTTTAACAGACAGGAAGCAATCTCAGAGAAGTTAATGACTGCTACAAGGTCACATTCAGAGCTGGAACCCAGGCCAGTGATTTCCACAGCATTCCTGATCTTATGTATTACTAGAGTGTTAACAATTTACTGGGGCTGAGAGAATCCACCCTGAACTGTGATCACAAGTGTTAACATATATTAATACAGTAGATAAAATTTTACTTCCTACGATGGAAGACCTGTTTTGCAAAAAATACAAGTGGTTTCATTTTTTTTTTAATTTATTTATCTATTTATTTTCGGCTGCATTGGGTCTTGGTTGCTGTGCACGGGCTTTCTCTAGTTGCGGTGAGCGGGGGCTACTCTTTGTTGCGGTGCATGGGCTTCTCATTGTGGTGGCTTCTCTTGTTGCGGAGCACAGGCTCTAGGCATGCAGGCTTCAGTAGTTGTGGCACGTGGGCTCAGTAGTTGTGGCTCGCGGGCTCTAGAGCACAGGCTCAGTAGTTGTGGCGCACGGGCTTAGTTGCTCCATGGCATGTGGGATCTTCCCGGACGAAGGCTCGAACCTGTGTTCTCTGCACTGGCAGGCAGATTCTCAACCACTGCGCCACCAGGGAAGCCCCAGTGGTTTCATTTTTAACGGTTAACTGAACTCTGGAAAAAGTACTAGTTTTAGTACTAGTTAACAGAGGACTCTTCAGTACTTTGCTTATCACAGTTTCCAACTCTGAGCATATTTCTGTATATGTTTATTGTCTTCCTTTTAAATTGTTTTTATGGAGCTTATCTAGGCAGAATGTATTTCTAAGGATTTCTAGAATATGAAAATAGTAGGAATAAAGGCACGGCAGTATCTGCTTTCTGAGAGTCCCATGTATCTTCCAATTAGAACTGACAGTCTCTATAAAGATTTTTTTTTTTTTCTTTTTTGCCAAACAGCATCTGGGATCTTAGTTTCCCCGACCAGGTATCGAACCCGTGCCCCCTGCAGTGGAAGCTTGGAGTCTTAACCACTGGACCACCAGGGAATTCCCAGAACTGACAGTCTCTATACTTTCCTTTTCCCTTCCTTCCCTTTCTCCCTCTCTTCCTTCTGTCGACTCATCAGGCATATTACTGAACATCTATTATGTCTCAGCCAGAAACTGAGAGTATAAGTTTAGTAAGAAATTTAAAAGTTTAATGTAGAACTGAAGAAAAGGATATTTCACAGGCAGCTGTGAGAATAAGGGAAAAGAAGCAGATTCTGTCAAGTGCTAGTTGGGAGGAGAGCAAAGTGTGGTTCCAAGAGGGCTTTTAAAAAGTAGTAGGGATCAGTTTCCCTAGTGGTGCAGTGGTTGAGAATCCGCCTGCCAATGCAGAGGACACAGGTTCCAGCCCTGGTCCTGGAAGATCCCACATGTCGTGGAGCATCTAAGTCCGTGCACCACAACTAGTGAGCCTGCGCTCTAGAACCTGCGAGCCACAACTACTGAAGCCTGTGCACCTAGAGCCTGTGCTCCACAACAAGAGAAGCCACCGCAATGAGAAGCCCGCTTACCACAGCTAGAGAAAGCCCGTGCACAGCAACGAAGACCCAACACAGCCAAATATAAAGTAAATAAATTAAAAAAAAAAGTAGTAGGGATGATATCACATGAACTATAATTAAAAATTAGTTGGCTTATATAAGTAATAATCACCAGACTTATACCCAATGAATGGAAAGTGAGTTTGGAAGTTTTGAATATTGCCAGGGAAAATTAATAGTTGGACAAATTAATATAATTTGTTCTATTCTGGGGGTTTAATAAAAGAATTTGACAAATTGGGCAGGAACTGCTAAAATAAAGTGTTAATTTGATAAATTAGCTTATTAATAGAATGTTCCTGTCAAAAGTCACCAAGTGACCACTGTGTTGCTAAATTAATGATCCTTTGTCAGCCTTCATCCAACCCAGCCTCGCAGTAGCATTTGACGCAAGTGATCTCATCCTTGATGGACTTTCTTCACTTGGCTTTCATGATATCCCACTTCCTTGAGTTTCTTCCTGTTTCCCTGGTGGTGTCTCACTCTCCCTTCCTGGTTCATCCTCACCTTGGTCCTCTTCTCTGTCTACATTCACTTCCCACTGACTTTATTTTTATTTTTTAAAAATTTGTTTGTTTTTATTTTTGGCTGCTTTGGGTCTTTGTTGCTGCACGCGGGCTTTTCTCTAGTTGCAGCGAGCGGGGGCTACTCTTCGTTGCGGTGCGCGGGCTTCCCATTGCAGTGGCTTCTCTTGTTGCAGAGCACAGGCTCTAGGCGTGTGGGCTTCAGTGGTTGTGGCTCGCAGGCTCTAGAGCGCAGGTTCAGTAGTTGTGGCACACGGGCTTAGTTGCTCCGCGGCATGTGGGATCCTCCCGGACCAGAGCATGAACCTGTGTCTCCTGCATTGGCAGGTGGACTCCCAACCACTGTGCCACTAGGGAGGCCCAGCTCCTTCAGTTTTAAATCTCAGCTTTTCAGCAAGGCCAACTCTAATCAAATGTATATAATATTACGTACTGCCCCTCCCAACCCCCCCTCAGATTCCTGATCTCCATTACCCATTCTACCTTCTTCCACTACAGCATTTATCAACTTCTACCATACCATGTAACTTACAGCGTTTTTTATTTTAATTGCCAGTCTCCTCTCACTGGACTGTAAGCTTCTCAAGGGCAGGGGTCATGTTTTGTTCATATTATTCCAAGTGCCTGGTGCTTGGCACATAACAGAAGCTCAACGTTTGTTGAGTTGAATGAAGACTAAAGCCCAGTGTGGGGCTTTTTTGCTGCCTTGTGAAACCCAATGACTTAATTAGGACAGAAATTCCTCAGGACTCTAGAG